AAAAAAAAAAAAAGAAATCTCAAAAGTTCACAGTAGAACTTACACGATCTTCACAATAAAAGATGCATTGCAAACAAAGGCTATCTTTTGCTCCATTGGGGGAAAATCAAAAACAAAATGAAAGATGACTGCTATTTTACATTGAGATTACAGTGGGTGAGACCCGACTGTTTTTCTATTTCCTACTGAGCTGAAGATATGTCACATATCAAAAACTGAAAAATGTCTCACAAAAACAAATAAATGAATAAAAAAACTATCATTTAAACATCAACTGAATCAGTTGTACTGTCCACAGATTCTACTCGATGGTGTTCAGGAATTGGACTCCGGTTTTCTAATTGGTCCATGTTGATAGACACCTCATCTGCTCTAGCATTCAAGGAATCTTTTTTATGTTTCTTGTTGTGACTAGATTTAAGAATCCGAGAGAGCACCTGCACAATGTCCCTCATAGATGGCCGCCTTCTTGGGACACGATTGACACATTTGTATGCAAGAGAAGCTACCTCATTGAGTTCTTGGACATCGAATTTCCCATCAAGACGAGGGTCGACAATTTCTTCCCATCCAACTTTCCCTTCAGTATTCATGGCTGCCTATCATGATTAAGTAGCAGGATTAGAAAAGGCAAATGGTTATGCAATGTTGGCACAAAAAATGAACAGACACAAATCAACATGGGAAAAAATCGAGGAAAATGAGACAGTTGGAACAAAATATAAATGTAGGAACAATGAAATTGATCCATCCGGCTAAAAAGCAAACGATGGAGAAACAAATACCACTTCATAAATATACTTGTGACTACTGTCATCCCAAAATCATAGCGCATGTTTGGCAAAGCTTAAATTCTAATTTAAGCCAGTGAAACATAGTTTATCCACATATTTCGTAGAATCCACAACTTACTACTCTCATATTATCCAAACGTTCCATGTGACCCACAGCTAATAAGCACTCGTAAATACTACCAAACATGCATTCATAAGACTGGATTTCCATTAAAGAGTAAGGGAAAGAACACTTACTAGTTCAACATACTCCATGAGACCCTGGAGTGGATTTCTTCCTGCAATAAGTTCAAATAGCAACACCCCATAGCTATAAACATCACTTTTTTTTGTAAATGAGCGTGTTGATATGTATTCAGGATCCAGATATCCAAACGTTCCCTGAATATTGGATGCATGTTTGTTAACCATCTCTTCCCTTGAAAGCCCAAAATCAGCCACCTGCATATGTTCCATGCTGAGTATGAAATCCCTAGAGAACTCATTTTTCAATTACTACAGTGATGCAATATTGTGAATTAGTTTATTTTGCATTTACTTTCACATGGAAAAACGTGTGCAATCAAAAGAGACAAACCCGGGCTCTCATAGACTGATCCAACAAAATATTGGATGATTTGATGTCCCGATGTATCACAGGAGGAACTGCCTGGAGGTAATCACAAAGAATCCAAAAAAGAAAGGAGAAAAAAAAAATCAAGTTAATGATCAGGTGTGAATTAGATAAAAGAGAAGGGTGAAGATTGATCACTAACATACATGAAACAAAATTCACATCTTAAATAAAATAAACGGAGATTGTAAAACGGTTGAAAATCAATTTAATTATAATCCAATTTCTGAACTGTTCTATTTAAGGTAAACTAACAAATTCAATTATTGAACATATTATAATTCACATAGAATTTGACATTGCAACTAGCAAACTCAACTGCTTCTAAAATTTTGCTTGATTAAAGAATATTAATCCTAGAGCATGCTTAACAACAAAGCGCTTAAGACAGATGAAATTGATATAAAAGTCAATTTTAATTGACATGCAGCAGAATGGTAGACTTATAAAACTTACCCCATCATGAAGATATTCCAAGCCCCTAGACACATCAAGAGCTACTTGAACCCTAAGCTCCCAGTTCAATAATTCAAGTTTTTCATCTGAATGTCCATACAAAAGAGAAGCGTGTAATTAACAAAAAATTACAAATGAAAGAAGAAAGAAAACAAAAGAAGGCATAATACAAGGAATCCAAACTGCAACTATCATCAATAATTTCTTAATTTCGTAAGTTCTATTGTCTTTTTTCACCAAAGAACGAGTAGAATTATGTGTGCATTTTTAATGCAGCTTGCTCAATCAGCGTCTTTAATCATAGAAAGATTGATATCCGAGACCATCCAGTATTGATGTATATCTAGACATGGCTATGGGACACTCTCACATATAGGCTTAACAACACCACTTAATCACAAGGTAAGGCTAGCAGCATCAGAAAACAGAAGGTGGAGTACATTATTAGTTTCAAGAGAATGCTTTTATTCTATCAATTTGTTTATGAACTAGCACAGCCAGCTTACTATACAAATGAGATGCCAGGCTTCCTCTGCTCATGTAGACATATATAAGCATATGTTGGTTCTTCTCTGCACAATATCCGACCAAATTCACAAGGTTTCTGTGATGTAACCTTCCTAATAACATAACCTGTTAATGAAACAGAAGGAAAAGTTAAAATTTGATGGCATCCAGAGTTGATGGTTAGAGTTTTGATCTTATATACATACATACATACATACATACATNNATATTTATTTTTATTTTATTTTTTTTAAGAGATTGGAGATCCTTCTCTGTACTGATCTCAGCTAATCGAAGTCTCTACTGATGGTTGAAAATTTCTCTAGTGAATAAAGTTGTGAACTATAGAGTACTAGAAGTACACGTTTTCAGCCAATGACTGGAAAGCATTGAATTCCAGTCCTTTTTCTTAGGAGACCAGAAACAAGCCATGTTTATTAACAAGAAAACATCAATTAACAGTGTTCTAACAAACTGTTGATAATCAATATTCCACACTTTTCGTCAGCAATTAAGATGAATAAATTTCTATTACTCAAAACCTTTATAGTATTGGAAGTCAAAGTCTGGATCCAGGGTTTCATAGTTCTGCTTTCTTTGCAATGGGGATGAGGAACAATCAAAGTTCTCGACTAAGTTTCTTCACAGATTTAAGAAAGAAGTATTGAAGCAACATTCGGCATTAATAATATAAATTTTACCAAGCATTAGCTTCTTATCTTTTGTGATTTTAGGCCACATAATGCAATGCAAGGGAACATGTGCTTGGCAATACAATTTTATGACTCTTCAAATGGTCAAACCAGAAGCCATAATACTCGTTAAACAACAGTACCTCTGTTTGAAACTCTTTCTCACCCTGCTTAGAATCAGTTGCAAGCACTTTTACAGCAACAGTCTCACCAGTTGACATCTGGGCTTTGTAAACAGGACCAAATGCCCCTTGACCTATTAATGTGGTAAAATTATAGGTTGCTTTTTGCAGGTCCCTGCTTGTTTATCAACCAAAACTAGATTCAGAAGAAAACAAATATAACCATAAAATAGAAGATACATACTTAAACCCGCATACTTTACAATTACAAAATCTGCATTTAGAATGAATATCTAATATCACTGAACATTCAAATATTATCTGCTCCGTCTACGATAATCCCTGATTTTTTAATTAGGTGCCAATAGGCACTATTATTCAGGCTATAGAATAATTTGTCCCCATTAAATAATATCGACATACTCGGGCTATGAACTTTGAACCATAAGGTCCCAATATATACCCATTTAAATTGAACTCATAACCTGACATAACAACGAACTCGAGTAAAACCTTCAGCTTTTACTACTCGGACAGAGAAATATTTGTTACTCCAGCATCGCATAAGCTATCAACTTACTTATTTGTGAGACCTGGTTACTGTTTTCTACAGCTCTTCGTGATATCAATAGGCACTCAGGTATCAAAGAGATAATGAATTGATTTAAACTAAGATACTAATTACTGCAGATTACTTTTGAAACCAATGGTGACAAAGGGATATCTCATGGAGTTATATCTTCCTGTGACAATTAACAAAGAAACTAAGAGCGGCCACATACATACTTGTAACAGTATTCCAGTATCCCAGATGCAGAAACAACATTGGCCTTCTTTAGTCCCCCAAGCCACAACGACATACCATTCTGATTACTTGGCCTGGGTGACTCGGTCCCAAATGATGAGTCCGACATCATTGTACAAGAATCAGCCCCATTTGCACGGATTGGGATAGTCGCAGCTCTCCTAGAACTGATATTTCCTATCTGTGAACGCTTCCTATGGTACCTAAAGCAAAAGAATGCAACTACGGCCAAAGCCACACCGATAACCACCCCAATTGATATTCCAATTATCAATCCGGATGACTCTTCTTTCATCTCTTTCTTACTGGATTAATATATTCTATCGAAGCATCTCATCCATGGAATAAACCTGTTAAGAAAACATCTATAATTAGCTCATGAAGACAGTGAAATTTGACCAAAATACGTTCCCATAACACAAGCATCTTAATCAAAGGAATTCTGACATAGATATGGATCGTCAACATCAAGACCAAATTAATAACATACTCTCATTTCAAGAAATAAGTATGAAAAAAGAATTAAAGACCAACCCATGAACAATTTACCTAAACAATCTAACAGTTTATAGATGCAGAAATTATGGGTCTAAAGCTTTGAAATCTCAAAAAGCAACTCGCTACAAAGACGAAAGTTCAAAATAAATCAACTGAAGCAAAAGGCTGAAAGATTCATAAACCTTTGGTCAAACTTTCCGTGCAGTTGCTAAAACGGTAAAAGTGAAAATTCTCCCACATTTTTTTATCGAAAATAAAAACATTAATTAAACAAAGCAAAAGTTATAACTCAAAAGGACCAACTCAAAATCCAGAAATATCAAAGCAGAAGAACCCAGATCAAACTTTACTAAAAAAACCCAGAAAAAATAAACAAAACCAAAAAGTAGTCAAAAACAGCAACAAACCATTTTTAGCAAGAAAAACGCGAGTACAGTGTAACGAATTGGACATTAATTATTCAGTCTTACCTTTTCTTGATGAAAGTTTGACTGAATAAAATCTCCGTCGAAGATTAAAGGAGAGACAGTTGATGAGGCAAAAAATAAAAGAGAATCTGAAACGTTGCGAGAAAACAGAGGAATGTGCGAAGGATGAGATTAAGAGGAAGGAATTTTGGAGTGAAAAGAACAGAAGCAAAAACTTGATTTCTTGCTGGCATTTACTTTATGAATTGTTTAAAGTTAGTTCAGTCGCCGTTTTTTTTAAGTTGAGAATGAATTGGGCGTGAAGCGTGGGAACATGGGACAATTTGTTTTCCTAAAATACCCTCGTAGGGACTATGGTGGTGTTTTTGTTTGCATTTGTACCCCCTGATTTTATTGGATATTGCAGTGTGAATGGCTTTTGAGTTTTCACCAAATTTATTTTGGAAAAATGGCAGATTTACTAATCTTAGGAAATTTATATTCTCAAACGAGGGTAGATCCAGCACCCGACAAGCCTCTAAGATCACCCCTTCTTGAAGACCTGTGTCGGGGATGGGACAATTTGAGAAGGATTACTTCAAGACTAGTTTTCATGAACATCTAATTGAAAAATATTGGCGCCATTGTCGATATTGTCTTGAAGTCAAGTAGAATATTAAGATCCTCTAATAATATCTCGCATCGCTTGTGGAAGGCTACTTTGTGACTTAATAAACATTTTACATAGTAAACACGATACATTCTTTTACCAACGAATTTTAAAGGTAAATTCCACCTTAAACATGAAACCTCATTTTCACTTTATCATCTTATCTATCTTATACAACAAACCCAAAATCACATCGTTTAAAGGAATTATTCAAGTTGTCTAAGTCACTCCAATCAAGTTCACAATTGGTTCACTTCAACATATAATTGTTTAAATATAAATATCTAACAAGAAATGAATATAGTTATTTGTCGGCATCTCAAACCCCACGTCAGCATTAAAGTATTTGGTCGCAAAAAAGTGAACAAAGCTAGACGGTTTTTTTTTTTTTTTTTGAGGTTTAAACTAGGAGGTTTGGGTTGATATAGAGCTAATTTTGTCGCTCGAATTTTCTCAATCCGAAATGCAACTATGCAAGTCAAGCCGGGGGAGTTAATTTGTACATCTTGAAAAACAAAAGGGCCTAATAGCTATTTCTGTAAAATACACGGTTTAATGTGAATTTTTATTTACTTGAATATTGTGCATATGTATCGACTTGGAAATCGGAAAGATTTGTACCCTCATCCTTTCAAAAATAGAGGATAAGAAAAATCTTCTTGGTAGTCTGCTCTAATTCCCTTACTAAAGTTTTGTTATTGAGTTCAATTTTTGAATTCTTTGGATTCCTTAGAATTTGGTGTCGTTACTCAATCCTTTGAGAGTTGTACTATTCATAACGAATTGATTGAGTAGCAGCTCTTAAACTACCAAAGAAAATGAATATTTATGATTTGATCATGTGCGTTTGACAATGAAAACTGTAAAAACATGCTCATGGTTACAGAACTAATGTACACGAATACAATTTTTTTCTTATGCCCCTAATAAGGTTGTTCTGAAAATAACACATTTTAATAAAAGATGATGAAATGTGTAAATAAAAGTCGATAAAAATTACGAGTCTATGAAATGTTGTGTTAAATTATTTATTAACTGGCATAGATTTTTTATCAATTTTTTTTTTTAGCTACACTGTTCGAGCTAAATATAATCAACATTTTAAGAATCATGTACAACATTGGTTGACAACATCCTATTTGACATCATCATTTCCATCAATTTTAAAAAACTGTTTCCTGCATCATATGTTAAGATTTTGACAACACATGATTGTCAATCATTGTTGTCAACAAATATTGTACACTTAGCTTTATTCTTATTTTCATCGTAAAATTTAGTCAAATACAAGCATAAAGGGTAATAATGTAAAAAGCGTATTCATATCTACAAATTTATTTTCCTTTTGGCGCTTGGTTCTATTTTGTCAAAAGTAATCAAGAAGAGATGCCTTTATTTTCCTTTTTCGAGTTGCTAAAAAAGTTTTAAGGGGCCCTTAAACATGGGCTTATATGTCATTTAACAGATTTCGGCATTCATAATTACTTACTTACAACATTTCGATCTTATTTCTTGTACAAGTGTAAAATATAACGGCCATATAATAGTGAAATACTAAAACTAAGACAAACTACTCATAAAATTTATACAAACCAAATATTTTACTTAACGTCGTTGTGCTATTTGAGTTAATTCACTTGATTGAGTGCTATAACCTCATTTTTAAGAATGAGACTCTATGACATTAAAATGCGATTGTATTCAATTCTAAATTGCAATTATTAACCAACACATCACAAAAAGGCCAAAAAAAAATAAAAAATGGTAAAGCCACTTAGTTATGGTGAAAAACAGGGGAGGAAGAGACATACTGATTTGTCAGAAAATGATTGGCTATTTTTGTTTTAAATTTTCAAACTGTCCAACCAAACTTCAACACGTATCCCACCAGGATTTGAGCCTGGATTTGTAGCATGATTCAAAAAAATAGTAAGTTTTACAATTTTATACATTCCCTTGTTGTGATTGGAGGCCATGTACCAATTTTAGGATTGACATTGATTGACTTGTAGGTATGTATTTTCATTTTATGGATACAAGTGGTTGATGTTTGAGGTTTGGAAAATGGTAATTGTAGTAATTAGCTGATAACCTAATTCAACTAGTTTGACAATATTGAAACCAAAAATTCCAAACTAGAAGAAATAGATATGTGGATGAAAGCAATTGTTACAAACATAAACTTGAAACTATATGCACACATCAACTTCACCAAAGCAAGATATTTCAATATTTAAAATTTTCTCTCAATTCATGAGTTGACTATGAGTTCTTGTTATAAAAATAATTACACTCTTCATACGTATCGATAAAGACCTTGGGGACATATAAGATAAGGAAATTATTTCAATATGTTCAAATTTAGCTTCTTAATCTCAGATCTAATCTTTTACATTTCAAAAAACTTGCCAACGAGCCCTTAATAAATTTTATCATGTACGATAGTAGATCATTTAAAAGTCAGGAGCTTTAACAATTGTCCAGAATGGATTCACACGACAAATATTGATTTAATATAATAAACATGTCGTTGCATTTACGTGTACTTTTACAAGCAAGTCTTGCTATTTTCTTACGAAAAATGAGCATAAGAATGGACAAGAGTAATGCAAGTATATATGAATATAATTACGTTGATAGGCGATGGAACCTATATAGCCCGCAATGAAAAGAATATTGTTTTATTTTTCAATGAAAGTTATGCGTGCTATCTTAAACACGCAAGATAAGAAACTTAGTATCATGTGTTTTGGATTTTAGCCTACTATAATAACTCATGAACTAACAAACATTGTTGTCACATTAATACACATTGAGTTTCATTTTACGAGGTTAACTTTATGTGTGACTTACCTCGATAAGTATGCATAAATCGTGACTTGAACTTACACGAGCACCTTGCACGTTGGATAGACAACAAATTAGGATCAAAACCCAATTTTTATTTTATTTTTTTATTTATTTTTTGTTGGTGCAGAGCATCTAGAAAGAAGATTTAGTTTCAACGCCGGAGAAGGTCATAACCCAATACTCTAAATCAAATTAAAATATTGGAATATTGCACTAATAGTCATTAAATCTATTGTTTTTATAGTAAGTTGGTTATCGGTCTTTTCGAAAGAGAGAGTCGATCATCAACCTTTTATTATAACTCGTAGTTTGTCTTTGATGACGGGAAATGTCAAATCTTTGTTAAATAATAGCACGAGCCTCGTGGAAATATGAACCATTTCAAGTTTTTTTTTTTATACCAATTGAAGTTGAGAAGTAAAATCTACCTTCATGGATATTTGAGGGTTATGTGATAATTTAGTAAACATTTTTGCAATTTTTTTTAT